AATAGTAATTTTTAGGAGAAAATGTGGTTAAAAAGTAGAGAAAAAATTTCAGTTTACGTATAAAATATTTTATTGTGGGAAATATGTGATTGAAAATAAATATGTAGAAAAAATAATTTGAAAATAATGGTTGCCCGAATGGGGGCTAAATTAAACAATGGATGTAAAGAAAAACAACAGAATTGTGTGTAAAAATTCTAGCACCATTTTTTCTATACATGTAGCAGATTTCAAAGAAAATACCACAAAAATCGTTTTCAACCACGCCTTTTCTATCTAACAATGGCTACCAAGAAAATCCAACGAAGAATCGAGCGTGTCCTCTTCATAGCCAAGAAAAATCGTCGGTGCAATAACGTGTGAAATTTTTCAACACTAATTCACTAATATGTAATTAATTTCAATGAATGTAGAAACTTTGGTCTAAGCATGTCTCAACAATGGTACCCCAAATTAGGAACTTCAACAATGATCAATTTGATACTCTCTATTCGAAATTCAACAGTAATTTGCAATGTAATTTCTGAATGTGATTGTAGTTTTCACCTTTTGAATGTATTCGAACTTGGAGTAATTTGCCGGAAAATATTTTTGAAAAGAAATCTATATAATGCTTTTGACATCCTGATTTTGCTCTACAAGTAGCAGTTGTTTCTTGCCTTGTGAAATATTCCGCATCACAGCACCCAATCCCCATTTCTGTGATGAAATAATGTAAGATATTTTTCCCTCGATTATATCATCATTTGCATTTCTCACGAGCACATCCATCAATTTGTATGCTACAGCAGTAAGGATACTAGATACTATGGCTAATGAAGTATTGCCTTATCATATTGGACCTAGATTGTGAACGTATGATAAATGACATGTTCAAACACTTTCTTGTAGCTTTAAACGGAAATCATTTAGGGAATGTCTTCAAATCCATAGAGAACGTCACTACCTTTACATTGGAAGAAATGACAATATTCCTCTAGATTTGATTACCCTTCTTTTGGATAGTATTCAAATTAAACACAAGGGGGTTCTCCTATTATATTTAATGTGGTGAAAAGACTGTTTGAGAAGTGTGCTGACAAGATCAAATCTTGTCACGAGCTATAAAATTTTTAAGGGTTTGTTTAAATGATTATAGTGCAGTTCTTTCCTTCATTTTCACAAAAGGGTTATGAATAGTGTATTGTGTCCCCTATCGTGACCGTATCTGTAACCGATACACGTAACATTGACATCATTGAGAAGTTACGTAAAGCAATACCATCAAAGTCAGGAATTTCAAATATTCTAGATCTTATGCCCACTAGGTTACATGACTTTCATATTGAATTTGTTTTAGTTTTCCCCCAATTACATGAGATTCCACATATTGCCACATTTTTTTATAAGACCTTTACTCAATTGCACACTCTTTCTATTGATATTGGGATGTTGTCCATTAATTATTCGACATGCTTTGTTAGCTAATCATCCCGTTGACAATGTTCTTAAATTCCATGCCAAATTAAGAGGTCAAATAATTTTCAATCATGAAATTTTAGGACTTACTTTCNTTATATTTTCAATACAGAAGAATTGCTTACTAATCGGGGCCCATTCGAGCCTTCGATGTTGCGATCATTTTTCTCTACATGCCAGTCTGCGATGCTAGCTTCTTATACTCCTCATTATGCACAACCAAATGCAGTGTTAAAGATGAGTTGCATGGGTGTTTGTTATTCGGAGACCAGTATCAGTACTTGATTAGATGGAGAGATTGTCCCCCTTGGCCGAATCATATTCTTGGGAATAAGCTGCAATTTTCGTTATTATCAAGCATAGACCGTCCCCCGTGGTAGAAGTTTATCCACTTGACAGGTCGAGTTTTCTCCCACCTCGAAAGAGTTGATGCGGACATCATCACGATTTATGTTATTGTTGATTTTTATTAATTACATTTTTTATTATTAATAGGCTTGTAGTAGTGAGTTGGCCCAAACCCGTCACTAGTAGTTTAGGTTTTTATTATTTATTGGATTTTTCATATTAGTTGGAACAGTTGATGAATATGATGAAATAAAAATGGTGTCGCTTGGAGCAATCGTTTTCTTCCTACCTCTTTTCCTCTGAGCTTCTGTTTCTTCTGCGGTTTCTTCCCCTGCTCTCTCTGGTTTCTCCCCCCGTTCTTGCTGCCTTTTCCTTTGTTCTGCATCAGGAATGCGTTCTGGAAAGTTGCTTTATATGAAATATTGCTTGGAAGATGATCCCAACTCCTGTTGTGTGACAGAAATGATAATTAATCTACATGATCCCTTTACCATGGAGAAAAATGAAGTATTCTGAAAGAATGAAGTGCTTAGATATCGTTAGTAAATTCCTCAAGAACCGAAGTTTCGCCATAAACAAGAAACACCACTGTCTATTTACTATTTTTACAAATGAAGTTCAAATGAAAACTGGTGTTCAAGAGTCGACATCCTAAGTGAAGAAAAAACAGGTCTGTAAAGTATTTCTGCTTAAAAATAAAGAACTTCTGGCTATTAGTGTTTTTAGCGTAAACCCATCAGCTGTGGCGCTGAAGCCTTCAACAAAAAATTGCCATTCGATTCCTAGAGCTCAGAGCGGTGTTGTCGGTTTGAAGTATACTAAGTGTACTTAATCTACCCTGGCCTTGAAAAGCATTTCGCAATTGACTTACCGAAAAAGAGGTTTTAAATCTATTGGAAATTTGATGAGCTTTCTCAGATTTCTGAAAGAGAAGATTTGTCATGAAGTTCATAGAGGAACATGAGTTTTGACAAAATACACTTGTCATTGGAAACTCAGAAAGTACTATTAAGCATCCAAAACGTCTGTATGTTGTGGGGCTAATAATATAAACATTCAGGACACCAAGATCTTTATGCATTTTGAGTCTGCATGCTGTAAGATGTATGATAAATATTCTTCTTTGAGTTTGATATTGCAGTCGATTGGTAATAATGTGTACTTACAAATGTACACTCTGACAGAAATACACATTGTCTTTTGATAAACTAGCAATTTCTCACTTGTTTTTGCAATGCCAGCGAAACATACCGCTACTTGGATCTTCCTTTCTGTACTCCAGGTTTGCATCTTGTTGCTTTACTTCTCTCTTCAATTCACTGAGATATACTGGAGTATAATATCTCACATACTAATTTGCAGCTCACATGAAAGAGAAGAAGGAAGCTCTTGGGGAAGTGTTGAATGGAGATCGACTTGTTAGTGCTCCATATAAACTTGAATTTTTGCAAGATAAAGATTCTGAGATTGTTTGCAAAAAGACATTAACAGAGGAAGAAGCTACACAAATCCGAAAGGCAGTCGCAAAAGACTATTATTTCCAAATGTACTATGATGCCTTGCCAATTTGGGGTTTCCTCGGGAAAGTNGATTGTTTGCAAAAAGACATTAACCAAGGAAGAAGCTGCACAATTCCGAAAGGCAGTCGCAAAAGACTATTATTTCCAAATGTACTATGATGACTTGCCCATTTGGGGTTTCTTGGAGAAAGTGGAGAGGGAAGGAAAATCTGACCCCAGCGAGTACAGATATTATATATTCAAACATCTCCATTTTGAGATCTTCTACAATAAGGATTGTGTAATTGAGATAAATGCACGAACTGACCCCAGTGCCCTTGTAGACCTTACTGAGGATAAGGAAGTTGATGTGGAGTTCATGTACTCTGTGAAGTGGAAGGAAACAAAAACTCCCTTTGAGAAGAGGATGGAAAAGTACTCACAGTCCTCTTTGTTACCTCGACACTTAGAAATACATTGGTTCTCAATAATCAACTCTTGTGTGACAGTTCTTCTTCTAATTGGTTTTTTGGCTACTATTCTTATGCGAGTCCTTAAGAATGATTTTGTCAAGTGAGCACATTGTTTATGTTTGATTATGAATTTCCTTTGATGTTCAAAATTGTTCACTTATTCTATTTATCAAAAGGTATGCTCATGACGAGGAGACAGCTGATGACCAAGAAGAAACTGGCTGGAAATTTATCAATGGTGATGTATTCAGGTATCCGAAGTACAAATCCTTATTTGCCGCTGCCCGAGGTTCTGGTACCCAGTTATTTACCCTGTAAGTATACGTATCTCTTTGAGCTATTGCTTGGAATTGGACTCATTGATCACTTTACTGACAACTAATTGTTGGAAATCTGCTAACTTCAATCACAATTTTTTTCCACAACACAGTATTTATTTTTATCCTTGCACTAGTTGGTGTATTTTATCCATATAACCGCGGAGCTCTGTTCACTGCACTGGTTGTCATTTATGCTCTTACATCTGGGATTGCTGGCTATACGGCAGCCTCTTTCCATAACTCCATTCTTTTACTTCTTTTATACTATCCACAACTAAAACTGTAATAAAATTATACCATGTTTCTAGGTATATCCGTATCCCTCTGACAACAAAAGTAAACAAAAAAGAAACAAAAAAAGAGGTTGATATATCTTTGCTTCTGCTGTCTAATATTTTTTTTTTTTTTTTTTTTTTTTTTGCATTTAGCAAAAATGACAAAAAAGTAAAGGTTTGCCTAAATGTACCAATGTATTGGGCCAGCTTCAATTGTTAAGATTTCTGAGTGCATGCGGGGGAAGGTTTCTTTCAATTGGCAATTTCCTCCTTTGTTTTGCATTAATTAATAATTTTTAAGAAATATAAATTTCTTACTGTAGATCTATGGTTGGAAAATGAAAAAAATACAATATAAGTATGAAATTAAGCCTGTTTTTGAGCTTCATTTTTTTTCTTTCTAAAACTCATTTTTTTCAAAATTCATTTTCAACTACATAAGCTCTTATAAAATAATTTTACACGTAAACTCAAATTTTTTTCTACTGTTTAACTACACGTTAAAAATCACTATTTTAAAACCTATTTTTCCCAAAAATATGGGGCTCAATTCTTGACTCAAATGACACTCACTTTTTCATTCTGCAGGTTCGGAATTTATTATTGACTGGAAGTCTATTTTGTGGACCACTATTTCTTACATTCTGCTTCCTTAATACTGTTGCCATTGCATACACTGCCCCTGCAGCACTTCCGTTCGGGACTATTGTGGTTATCTTTCTTATTTGGGCCCTTGTGACATCACCTTTGTTAGTCATGGGTGGAATCGCCGGAAAGAATAGCAAGGCAGAGTTTCAAGCTCCATGCCGTACTACAAATTACCCCCGAGTGATCCCACCTTTGCCTTGGTACCGTGGAACTTTGCCTCAGATGGCGATGGCTGGATTCTTGCCTTTCAGCGCCATATTTAATTGAACTTTACTACATATTTGCCAATGTATGGGGCCATAGGATCTATACTATCTACAGCAACTTATTTATAGTCTTCGTCATCCTCTTGATTGTTACTGCTTTTATCACCGTTGCATTGACATACTTCCAGCTTGCCGCTGAAGACCATGAATGGTGGTGGAGGTATTACATCTTATCCTTATAAGAGATGTTTTTACTGCTTTTTGTTTAGTTTAATCACGCGTGATCTTCTAATGTTGACTGCTGATGCAGGTCTTTTCTTTGTGGTGGATCAACTGGGCTGTTCATCTATGCCTACTGCTTGTATTACAATTATGCACGATCAGATGTGTCGGTCTTCATACAAACCTCGTTCTTCTTCGGATACATGGCTTGCATTTGCTATGGTTTCTTTCTCATGCTCGGCACAGTTGGTTTCCGAGCTGCACTCTTTTTTGTCCGTCACGTATACCGCTCGATTAAGTGCGAGTAGCAACTTGGTTGGTAGATTCTCAATGCTCTATAAATTTTAGCAAGCCAAAACAGGACTTCTCAACTGCGAGATTGACGGATCTTGAACAAATTAAAATGGAGTTGTAGAATCAAATATTTTTCTGAATTAAAATAGAAACAATCTTCATCATTTATAGATGAAGGGAATTGTAGTACAACGAACCCAAGAACTAACTTAACAAAATTAACAAACTAAAACTATAAAACGTGAGTTAACTAAACACGTGAAAGCAACACACGCTTTCTATTATTTACTAAACGGACTAGAGTGAATATAAGCTAACTGGGCTTTATTTTCAGTTAGCCCAACAGCAAGTAGCAGTCCAACTCCATAGCTCAGCCCATCAGCTTTACCATCAGCTTCACCATAGCTAGCAGCTTGTAATCTCTTCAGATCTTTAGATGGTACAGTCGAACGATTTATGCTGTTATTTTAGTTTCAGAGTTATCTATATTCAGGCTTTTTGTCCTTCGAAATCTAAGATGGTGGAATGGGCAGAGATGAAGGTGGTTTTTCTCAGTATATGTATATGTTTATTTTCTTTTTGCAGAATGTTCTTGACACTTGTATACCATCTTTTCCTGGTTCGTAGTTTAGAATCATCACCCCCATTTAGTTTTCTTCTTAATACATGGAAAATTATTACAGAATCTCAAAAATAGATCTCATGTCTCAAGGCACTCTGGTAGTTGTGTTAGAATGAATCGAGCAGTTCGATTTTTCTTATATTAAATTGGATAATGGGTATTATAATCGAGAATTGACGGATTCGATTCGATTCTCAGTTCTATACCAAAGAATCCAACCTCCTCATTTTATTTTATACCACCATGAAAAATGGGTATAATTTAATTTGTAGGTCTTGAAACCCCATGATTCCAATTGAAATTATCCCACATTTTAAAATATTTCAAAATATGAGCAGAATCTAAAGAGAAAAGCTGGCAGTATTCCTTATTATTATTTTTTTTTATAACCGTGGATGTTCGAGCCAATTTGCGCACACCTCGACTAATTCCACGCGGATAAGTTGGCAGCATTCAAAAGTAATTCATATAAATAAATTTTCGAAAATCGATTAGGTTATATATAATCCATCAAAATGAGTACTAGACTTACCATAAAAATATTTTTTTCCTATTACTTTTATTTTGTATTTCATGTTTCCCCTTTTTATGTAGGTTTAAAGGCTTGAATTGAAGGAATCAATGGGACAAAAAGGAAATTTGTCTATGTATTTGTGTTACTATTTACCTTTTGACGGTTGTATATATTGGTGAATGAATTTTGTTGACAACTCGTTATTTTTGTTTTTAGGACTATGTTTATCATTTTGTAAGAAATAAGATGAAAATCTATTTTTTATTTGTTAGATTAATCATTGTACGGTTGGTTATGGTACGATTGCGTTATCAACTTTGGACCGAACAATTTCATTTACAAGATACCAAATAATTCTTGATTTGGCTCGCTCCAATTATCTTTGGAATTGAACCAAATTAAACTGTGCCAAACTAGCCTTAGATAATGCTTGATTTGTTTTATGAGTGAACTTAGACGACTCTGTCTTATAAAAGATGCATATATGACTTACCAGTTACAAAGGCAAATGACCAAATATATTTAATTATATGAAAATAAGAAAAGAATTACTTAAACTTTCGATAAATTTCATTTTCAAAAATTACAGAAATTTAAAAATAAATTAATATTTAGATTAATTTTCTATCACTAAATAAAATTATGTAAATTAAAGAATCAACGATGAAAATGATTGGATTAGTGGTTTAGCTTACTTTTTAAATTAACTTGTCAAGCATTGTTTTTAATTTGGTGTTATCTCAAATACGTTTTCTGGCGTGCTGTGTATGTATATAATTAAAAAGTCAACGTGTTGAGTATAATATAGATTGGATTAATTGCATCAAAAAATTAACTATTTAAATAATAAAGTTCGACTGGGATAACAGATGGTCACCAAATTATAAAGTTATTCATACATTAATAAATCTAATGATTTTGTTGAAATTTTAATGGTGTTGCGTTTGGCCCTGCTTGAGCCCCATTTTTTTTTAATGAAAATACATTTTGAAATAGTATTTTGATGGAAAAACAGGACAACCAAACCTTTTAACTAATTGTTGAAAACATGTTAGAATTTTCCAACACACATAATATGGACAATAATAAAAAGAGAAAACTAGAAATACTATATATATATTTTTTAATGCAAATAGTACTGGTTTTTGGAGAAATATATATAGAAATTACATTAGACCAAATTTTTCAAGATCATAGTGCAAAGTCAGATAATAAGTTTAATTAATTATAAATTATGTATTAATTTAACTATTTCTATTATTAATAGTGATATAAAATATATCAAACCCCATCCCATCCCAATCCAATTTAATCCCAAATCCTAAAATTCATTTATCTTCATCTTCTCTCTTCTCATTCCCTCTATCTAACTCACACATGCATGCGCCGTCGTACCCACTGTTGAAGACCACCGCCGAACTCACAACGGCGATCGCTCGCCTTGAAGTCGTGACTATTGATGGCTCGCTTAGGCTGAAGCCGCTATTAAATGTCAGATTGCTAGAGATCTAAGATTTGAGTGCCGCTGCAACTGGAGATTGCACCTCCGTCTCCCTGAAAATAGGGAAGTTGCAATGCCGACATTTGAGATCAAGGATGGCGCTTGCGCTGCGGCTTCTATCCGATCTATACCGCTGATGTAGAGATTGCACCACCGTCGATGGAGAGTTTTGAGTGCTACCACTAGAGAATGATGATGGCGGTAGTTTGCTACATTTGGTGGTGTTTTTGGATTGTGGTTTTTGAAGCGGTGGTGGCTTTCATGTGTTTGGTGTTGGAGTTGTTTTTGTTGACAGTGGATTTGGCGGTGGCAGTTTTGTTGGTGGTGGTGGCGGGGTGAGGTTGGTCGCAAGTGGCCGTGGCGGCAGCGATAGTGTTGGTGGTGATGGTACGTGACCAACTATTTGATTAATTTGTGATCAAATATTTAATTGTAACCTAAAATTTTGATAATTTATGACTGAAAATAGTTTATGACCTACTATTTTGAAAATTTGTGATCGACAAATAAATTGTGACCTATAAATTTTTTGATTTGTAATCGATGAAATAAATTGTAGCCTATCAAATTTTTTTATTGTGACCATGAAATAATATATGACGTTGTGATCTATAAATACACACACGTGATCATTAATTGTATAATTGTGATATTAGTATATTTAATTAATAAAATATTTTTTAATTAATTAATTAATACCCTAGTTTTGCATTTTGAAACTTAAAATCTGAAAATTGAATTGTCACATACGTAATGCACAATTTGTGAATTTTTCCCGGAATATATTATCTATTGATATTGATAAAATCTTACGTCGCAACTTGAATTACGTATTTTTTTAATAACCCACAAACCAACTTGAATTAAGTAAAAAAAATATTAAGTAGTTAGATAATCAAACATTTATTCATAATTAAAAAATCGTGTAGAACAAACACCTTATTACTGACAAATTCTCATAGAGAAAGGGATTATTCGATAACTTTTTATAAAATTTTAACAGATTTTAATAAAAATTGATGAAATATATCATTGAAAAACTCAAAAATATTGATCCATGAAATATATAATTAAAATTATTATTGACTTCGATGTCAATTTTTTAGATAGAAAATATGTTGATAGATGCATAATCAAACACTTCTCTTCATGTAGGTAGAATTATTTTTCACATACACAATTTTTTTTAAATAAATGGCAATACTTAAGCCAATAAAATGTAATGTATTTATTTATTGACAAAATTGCAGCTGCCATCCTCAACATTTGGAGCATTTGCATTTTTATCCTCATTCTTATAATTCTGGTAGTCCAGTCCTACCCCAACCTTTCGTTTTTTGGCAGCCATGATCCCTATAAACATATTCCATCTATAACGGCCGTTAATGTAGCTGCAAAAGACATATTTACCCTCATTAATCTATTAATTTCTAATTTATCATTATGTTCAATATAAAGTTTAAGAAACAAACAATAAAAAAATGTACACAAAATAGTTAAAATATTATATTTTTCACATACACAAGTATCGTGTATGAAGGACTGTGTAATCTATGTTTAATTTAGTTTAAAACGGTAAAGACATATTCCAAAATTAGTTTAATTTATCATTTTCTATTTAAATTTCATTATGAACGAAAAAGAAAAATGCAAAGAACGAAAAAAGGGGAAAAAAATTAAGAATGAAGGTAAGTCTATCTTTTTCCGAGCAATTAATGGTCATTTGATGGAACTCGTTTATAGGGAACGTGGCCGCATATAAATGAAAGGTTGGGGATAGAGCAGCCAAAGTTATAAGAATGTGGATAAAATTATCATAGAATAAAATAAATAAATTTTAAGAAGCAATAAAAAATAACTTGTCAAATTATTGTTTTAGGTTATTTAATTATCCATCATTAAAATATTAATTTTAACTTGTCAAATTATTGTTTTAGGTTATTTAATTATAAGAATGTGGATAAAATTATCATAGAATAAAATAAATAAATTTTAAGAAGCAATAAAAAATAACTTGTCAAATTATTGTTTTAGGTTATTAATTTAATTGATTTTCCGCACTAAATTTGTCGGTATTTTCTATATTTATTTGTATTCTAATTATATTAAATTTAGAATGCTATCAATATCCATTCTAGTAGTTTTATATAGACAACAATAAAATCGTTTTATTTATCAAATGCTGAGTTTTGAAAAACATTGCAATTCTAAAACAACGGTTCACCAAATATTTAATCAATTCTCTCCACAAGTGATTCTTTGTGCTATTCTTTTAAATCACACGTTTAGCCACCTAGCACATGCTCACACTGCATTTTCAGTCTTGTAATATGTTGGTGTCAATTTTTTATTTTTTCAATAGCACAGAACACAGACATCTTTGATGTCACCTTTTTTTTTTCTTGCGCGTTTTCGGGTGTTTATAGTATATATATACAGACATTTACTATATTGTTCTCTTTAGCCATAGATTTATCAATCTATTTTCAAGTATTTGTCTGTTCGAATCAATTATGAATCACTTATGATCCATTTTCTCGATATTTCCAGTTAATTTTCAAATTCAGTAAAAATCAACTCTTTTCATTTATGTTTTCAAATTAATTTATGGAACTGACGTTCAAGATCTATGATATATCAAGGGAAAGATATCGTGTTCGAGAAGTAAGTGTGAATGAAATCGAGGAATATGAGGTGGAAGGATGAAATAAAATCATCGAAAGGAAGCCGATTCAACCTTATAGAGAACGAGTTGGAGTTCGAGGGCACTCAACAGAGGTTAATTAGAAGACAAAGTATCATCAATGGCCTAAAAGACCTTTCAAAAGGCTTCTTCATTCATCCTGAAAACAGGTAGGCTAATACACACTCAAAATCTACCAAATAATATAGAGATGTATGTATAGTTTCTTTATTATTTTCATATAAACAGATGGTGGGATTTTTGTCCATTACAACTTTAAGGCTTAAGATATGGATTGTTTGACTTTGATCCTCCCACTTTTTTTTTTAAATGGTCTTCATTCACCAAAACGAAGTTCCAAATGCAACTTAACAATATAGGATAAACCCGACTAAAAGCCAAACTACGCATCTGCACTTGAGCACCCCCGCACACCAAGTAGCGGACAATGTCTAAACTTCTAAACCTCTCCGAAAAGAGGGAGAGCACTCTAAAAAGCTAGAGTCTCAACATTGGACTCAAAGTCCAAGAACCAAACACTACAAATACAAATAAAACAACACAACAACACAGAAAAAAAACAACAAAACAGAACAGAAACCGACAACAAAGAGGCCCGACTGCACGTCCTAGACAGGCTCCCACTTGGAGGGTAAAAATTGACCATTTTCCTATTATTGAAATGGGAAATTTTTTTTTATTAATCTTTTTATTAGTCAAAATAACTTTTTCCCCCGATCGAAAAAATTATTAAATATAGTCATTTAGTCATTGGAAATATTTGTTGTGTCATTTAATTAAACATCTTCTAAGTAATCGGGTAAAGTCGATGAAGCAGATTATAATGTCTAAATGGACAAAACATTGTGTGTCTGACCAAATGCTGAGACGATTCAAATAATTTGCATAAAAAGAAAGCGAAAAGTATTTAAATGGATTAAAAATTCTTGTCAACTTTTTTTAGTTTGACGAGATGCATAGAAAACTTGACATTAACTTATTTTTACATAGTTGATAAAAAATTATATTTTAAAATTAATATTTAATTACATGTAAACTTACCCGTAAGTAAATCTTTAAGCTTAGTCATCATGTACAAGGTCTAATTGATATTGAATCTTAAAAATAATTTTCTTTACAATTAATTTGAGACAATATCAAAAAANATACAAATTTCTTAATATAATTTTCATCATTTTATTAGAAAATTTTTAGAAAATTTTATGTGGAATATGACATAAAAAATTTTGGAAATTTTACATCCGAAAAAGTCATATCCCATGTAAATTTTCGAATATAAATTTACATGGGGTATGATTTTTTGGGACGTAAATTTTCGATTGTAAAATTTCTCCTAACTTCTTTGCAAGTTCAATTGTGTCCCCCTAACTTTTAAGTTCTGTGTCCGCTCCTGCCATAAAGTACTTCTTCAATTCACCCTCTTAAAAAATCTAATTTGTTTAATTAATGAAGTAAAAAATTAATAAATAATATGTTCATAACATATTTTTCCAACAGTATTAATTTCTAGCTTTACCTTAACATGAATTACTCATTCATTTCTTTTTTTGAAGATGAATCTTGAGTGAATTGTCCAAATAGTCACTAAACTTTACGCCATGCTTCCAGAGGTTACTGAACTTTCAAAATCACCCAAATTATATCTAAATTTTGCAAAAGATTTTCACGAGGTCACTGAACTTTAAAAATCACTCCATTCATCACTGAATTTTGTAAAAGGTTTCTCAGGAGTCACTAACTCAGTGATCTCCTAGAAATCATTTTGCAAAGTTTAGTGATCTCGTAGAAACCTTTTGCAAAGTTTAATAATGAATGATGTGATTTTTAAAGTTCAGTGACCTCGTGGAAACTTTTTACAAAATTCAGCGATGACTTTGGTGATTTTTAAAGTTCAGTAACCCTTTGAAAGCATGGCGTAAAGTTTAGTGACTATTTGGACAATTCACTCCATTTTCTCCAACTAATCATTTCAAGGAAATGTTTTTGTTTTACTTTCCCCCTTTCAAATATTTTTGCATTAGTTAACTGTATACACCAGGTTCATAATTGGTAGTGACTATTTGTGTTCTCAAATCAATGTAGGGTATGTATCTTTTGAAAAATTTGCATATTTTCACTCACTCTGCCACAAGGTTTTGTTTAATGCTTTATCAGTGACATGGATGAGACTGTAGCCTTTCGTGTGTACTCAGTATTCTTTTTCAACGTCTTCAATAATGTCAGTGAGAGTATATATACTTTCTTCATCACACCGTCGACCGCCCCTTTTACTATTACTATTTTTTAAACAAAAAATTAAACATCATTTTAATTATGAAATGCTAAAACTTTAGTAGAACACATTTCAGCCTTTTAAGAGAAAGATTAAAAAAAAAAAAAAAAAACTATATTCCAATAAAATTTTACGCTTCACATTAAAATTTTTTCATTTGAAAATAATAGTGATATATCAATATTTGATTGATGGGATAATCGAAGAGACAAAAACGGAGATAGCAAATGTGGGTTCATACTAATAAAATAATTCCTTTGAAAAATCATTTAATAATTGATGTTCATCCAAACACATTTTTGACTTTCGATTGTTCGTAGGTCCATCAACTTGACTTTTTATTTCTTGCTAGTGTGACTTTTTACATCAAGTATTGTTTATAAATATTTAGTTCAATTTTTGTTTACACAGTTTAATATCGGCAAATACTGTCTACTTATTCATCACTAATTTCTGTGTTTTTATAATTTAAACTATTTATAAACACTTTTATTTATAATAAAAATAAAAGGGGTCGATGCATAATTTGTTTATTGGGGGGAAAAAGTAGAACCCTATAGTCCATTTTACATAGCACTTTTGTTCCTTCTCCTTAATATTTTATTTTGTTTTGGGAAAAAACAAGAGACCAGTAATCCGGTTTATCTCTTGGAAAAAGGTGTCTAGTGGTATATGCATGGAGCCCCCAAATACCAGGCAAAGCAGAGAATCCGATAACTATTTGTTTTAATACTAGGTGTAAGCAACGTGCAATGCACGTTTGCTTAGTTTACATATAATTTTTTTGGTTAATTAAATAACTAAAGATGTAATGAGAACATAAATATAAGAAGCGGTTTCCGAAGGATAAAAGATCAACAATCAAATTCTAAAGTTTGGATTTAGCATTCTAAACCATTCAATAAGACCCCCTAACGTTCAGTATATTGATTTCGGTTGCTCAATTCTGGCGAGGAATGACAAAAATGTAAAATTTCCAAAATCTTAATCTTAGCAGAGAATGAGATTGTCAATAATTATTTCAAAAAATAAAATTTACAACAAATACCTAAATAAATAAAACTCTGGAAAACTCAATAACATCCTCTCTAATTTATTAAAGTCCAAATTTACAAGAGGGAAAGAATGCAATTTACAACGTGGAATGCAACAATTTGTGTGAAAATGAGACTTTCGTCGGGTTTCTTGATTCCTAAACTGAAAGGAAACGAGCACAAGACAAATCAAACCTTATTGAACAAAATGTTTTTATTGTTTGTGCATGATGCCGTCCTTCAAAGTGCATTTCGACCTGCTTTTGGTACTTGTCACCTATATATCGATCATCCATTTATTAAATTTCATCAGCATAGATCAATGCAACAGAATTATGAGATCGACATCATAATAAGAAGACTATGAAACATACCACTCAACCTCCAGTATTAACTCTATTCTAGTCATTACCTTATCAAATTGAGCTAAAATCAGGTGTG